CTACTACTACTACTATTAATACTACTACTACTACGACTACTACTACTACTACTACTACTATCATGTTTCATGTAGTCAAGGTTCTAGTTGGCTCAGGGTCTGCGGGGATTTGGTAAATGGGGAAGAAGAGCTCCAACATTCTTCAGCGTGGCTCTTAGTAGAAGTACAGGGACACAGTGAACACGCAAAGCACAGTGCGACTGTTCCCCCCAACTTGTTCTTTCAGACGCCATAGGATACATTGTTTTTACATGTGGGGGTGGTTGCAGAAGTTGGGTCCTCTAGCACAAGATCGCTTCCTGGAATCGTTCTCAAAAAGCGGGAGGTCACCTTTTGGAATCTCCACTGGGAACGCAAGGTTTGGATGAAGAAGTTTGGGAAGAAGACTTTCCCTGCTGCGGCCATTGTACAGGCTTACAATGAGATTGTCCCAGGCTCATCCTTGGCCTCATTGAACCCGAAACCTAAACAGATAAGAAATCATACTCTCATAGCGTGTAAAAGATGAATAATTCCTACACCCTGAACCCTAAACCCTAAACCCTTAAACCCTAAACCCTAAACCCTTATAATATACTAAGAAATTCTTAAAAGCCAACAAGGAGCAGCTGCACTCCGTGGGCAAAGGCTGCCCCAACGAGTTCAACCTTGCAGACCATGCGATGTTTTTGCTGCAGAGCCATGTCGCAAGCCTACCTGGTTTGTAAAAAGCTTGGGGCAAGGGGGTCGTCCACTAGCTGTTTTCTTGTGAAGTCCTCTGAGTTTGTCCTGAAGTAACTTGGGGGCCCTCAAAATTTCATCTCCACATCTGTTGCCAGAGGTTGGTAGGCAGTCCTCACTGCACAACACATTGAACCCAGAGAATTCTACGGCGAACAATCTGCAAATTCAAGCTCTAAGCTTCATATCTTCCTTGAAATAGTTACATAGGCTTTACTCCGAAGACCCGATCTTCTACTGACCCAAAAACCTCACCACTGTTCCCCTCTAATTGTGTCACAAGCAAGACCTGTGTTTGAATACCCCATCATGTTTGGGTGCATGGCAAAGAGGGATCCGCCGTTCGTCCCATCTACGTTCTCAGACTGATGTTGATGTGATCTACAGGTTTCAATCCTGGACATGAAAAAGGGGCCTTCTACTTACTGGTTGTCAGTAGGGAAAAGGGGAATATAATCCTTATATATTCTCTGCATAAGCCATATAGAAGCTTTATAGAATCCCTGTATAATGTATTTCCCCAATCATTCTCTACTAACCGCCAGTAAGTTTAAGCAGCTAGGAGCACCGAAAGTCACATGTCCGTTTGCCTTCCGTCCGCAATATCCAATGTTGAGAGGGCCCTGGGTCTGCTGGGTTCCTCAGACAAAATGCGAGTAACAATAGCAATAAGAGTGATCTTAGTAACAACAGTAATACTCGTAATCATAGTAATCATAGTAGTAAATAATAGCAATGATTGCAATAGTAGTAGTAATGGTAATAATAGTCATACTAATTGTCAGTAATAGTAATAGTGTAACAATAATGATGATAGTAGTAATGATGTGTATCGCTGAGCACGTGATTCGCATGGAGCAAAAGGTTTGCCTGGGTTGCCACTGTAAGAGTTTGCTCACCTCACTAAGTGCATCTTGTTTGGCCAACAGGAGCTGCAGAACTTCATCCCAAGCTTCAATGGAAACTCCTAAGCCAAAGCCCAGTACACCAATTCCATGGCCCTGAGAAGCCCTGAACCCTATACAGCCCAGAACCCTAGACCTACTTCCCTAAACCCTAACCCTAAACCCTAGCTGAAACCTAACCCTAAAGCCTAACCGTATTGAAACCCAACCCAGAACCCTGAACTTTTCAACCTTGGAATCCTAATGCTTCCGTCGAGCCGTAGGGTCAGTCGCAAGGTTTAGGGTTTAGGGTTATTTCGCGGATTATATAGGAGAGTATTATAGGGGTTATTAAGAGGGATGCTAGGAGTGTAGACTATATTTAACATAGCACCCTGTTCCCGAGATGGTGGTAAATATCAGGAGACCCCGAACACGCGACCCATGTTCGGCGCAGACTCATGAACCCCATACCTTACTGGTAGTTAGTAGGGAATATGGAAATATATTTCCTATGTAATCTATTCCCTTCTTCCCTATTAACCCCAGTAAGATATAGAAATGCTGAAGTGGAAAAAGGACGGAGTCGGATGAGTCCCTTGATTCCATGCAGGCACCGCAACCTGATACTGGGATCAGCTGAATGGAGATGTTACGGTTATCATACTGGGGAATGTGGGGATATACAGCAGTAGGAAGTATGATTGCAGATTGCAGCCCAAGTTCGGGTAACTGTCCGACCACTGCGAATTGCCCTTGAAGCTCCAAGGTATAGCTTTGTAGCCTAGGCTACGGCGGGCCTCTTTCTTACTGGGGGTGAAAGGTTCAGGATTCAGAGAGTTGCATTCTAGGTTTCTGCAGACTGCTTTGGCCTTCCAGGAAAGTCCTCAGAAGCCTGAGCCTTTATACACGCAATGCAAAACATCTGAGGGCAGATAAAGTACGTGGTGAGGATGTGTGGCTGGCGGCTTCCCATTTGGGTTGGCTTTGCAGCTGGGATGTCGCGACTGAGCACTTCGCTTGTGTAGGATATGATGCATATGAGATTGCACTGGGAAGGGGAGAAATCACCAAAGCTCTTGACCTGAAACCCGTGGCCACAAGGGGGACTTCGGGGGGAACAAACCTGTCGGTGTCAAGAATGATGCAGTGTGAGAAGGTACCTACAATCATCTTGAAAATCCAGAAGCTGTCTTTCTGCAAAGAGCTAGTAGTTTCCATCGCTATAGTACCTACATATGGGTATTTCTCAATATAACCCCTATATAATCCTTTAAGGGGAGCCCTATATAATCCCCTTATAATCCCTCTATACCCCCTGGGGTCCCTAGGGTACCCCCTTCTTGAGAAACTCCCACATACCCATAATTGGGAGTGCTCGAGGCGTAGCTGCAGGAAGGTACTTGGAGTTCCCCCTAGGGCATTTGAGGGGTTTAGGGTTTAGGGTTTAGGGTTCTTCACCCTGGCATGATCGCTGGGCTTCTTGCATGCCTTCGGTCTTGTCAAGGCTGTCTTAGACCCTAAATCCTCCCTAAACCCCAAGTAGTAGCTTCCATTTTCTTTTCCATTAATGCAATATAACCCCAATTAAGCCTAATATAATCCCCAAATTATCCCTAAACCCAAAGCCAAGAACTCCTAAGCACTGCGCCCGCCATTTCCCACCATCATTCTGCACAGGCAAAGATGATCATGGAGAAGTCGGAGGTGGATAGGGGCTCTATGGGGATAATGGAAAAGCAAATGGAATCTACTATTTAGGGGTTATATGGGGTTATATAGGGATTATATAGGGATAATGGAAAATATTTGAAGGATAGTATATTGGGGCTACTCATAGGGATAATGGAAAAGAACATGGACACTACTATAGTATATTGGAGATATTAATAGGGATAATGGAAAATGACATGGAAGCTATTTTTGTATATTGGGGATTAATGGGGATAATGGAAGAGAAAATGGAAACTATTATAGTATATTGGGGATATTGATAGGGATAATGGAAAAGAAAATGGACACTACTATAGTATATTGGCGATATTAATGGGGATAACGGAAAAGAAAATGGAAACTACTATAGGGTTTAGGTTGACTGTTTGCGGTGTTACGATTCCCGCGCTACGAGTGGGAGTACGGTGTAAAGCTGGACAGGTGTTTCCACATGTTGGTCCCGATGTCCAATACTCAGTATTGTTGCCCAGCAGAACCTGCCCATCCAGCAGTCAGCAAAAGCACCGTTTTCAACATGGCCTGCTTTCTGCAGGGAAGTGCTCCTGATATGCCGCATGACAAGAGTGTGATGACGACGACGCCTGGCAAATTACCGCGGCCGGTGGAATAGTAAAGCTGTTTTCTGAAAGCTTCGAGTTTTGAGTTGTCGTCGGCATGGGCGCTTGCCCAAAGCAGAGGCGCCTACACAGCCTTTTGGATGAGGGGTTACAAAACATAGGACCATGCCTTCGGCAGGACTCCGATGACGCATGCCACCAGACTCGATTCGATTAACGAGCTGCAGAGGTTCTGATGGATGTGTATCAGTATGTATGTGGATCCGAAAATTTTGTCAAGAGCGTTGATTCTGAGACGAGAGATCATATGTAAGAAGACGTGAAAAGGGCCCTTTATCCAGAACGCCGCAAGGCCAAAGCCTGGATTGAAACCTCACTTGAAATTCAAGAGATAGCCCTGGGTAACTGCAAGTTTTGTTATGTACCCAGAGCTTGGCTGAATTCCAAGCAGAACAGAAAGTCCCAAGGCATCTTTCCTAGGGTTTGGTTCAGAGTCCGGGTTGAGGCTTCAGATATAGGTAGTAATGGAGAATCAGATGGAAAACAACATGGAAAATGAATGGAAACTGCTATTTACAGTTTAGGGGTTCACATACACAAGGTGTGACGAAAAGGTTTCAGGTTGTAGGGTTTTGGGTTTGGCGTGGTGAATGGTACTTAGGCCGGCGCACTACAACCCCAAATCACACCAAAACCGCCACGGAAGAGTGTACTCAGCCTAGATTCAGCGACAGTTTCTTCGACATTCATCCGTTTGAGGCAACCGATCCGAAACCTACAAGCTTTAACACCAAAACGGTCAGAACGAGGAAGATGGAGGGTGCAACGGCTGGGTTCTTCACCCAGCTCATGGCACTCTCCAAGCGAGTCTCGGCACTGTGGTCGGTGGAGGTTTATCCAGTGTCTAGCGTCAGGGGTAGGTTTGAACATTGTTCTGAATTTTTTGTTACCCTTGGCGTCTATATTTTGATTTCTATACCCCAAACCTACCCTATTGTTGGTGTAAAGCCTTGGAGGATGAAATCAGTAAGGGTGAGGTTTCACAACTCGGAAAGAGGCTTCGAGTTCAAGGGCCACTTGCAGGTTCAGCATACGTAGCCTCATCTCCTGGAATTCGAACTCCCAGGGAATGGTTATAGCCCAGCACCAATTCCCTCCCCAACATGACACCCCGCGCCCCTGAATGCTAAATATTCCCACCTGGTATGTTATGATATATTGAGAACGGTCAATATTGGGTGGGGTGGGGTTTGGGTGGGGGCTTTAATAATATACTCTTAGGGAGAGGCGATGGCTTGCTGACCTCACCTCCTAAGTTGAGACGGGGGAACACCCTAAACCCTTAAATCCTAAACAAACCCCGAACCCTAAACCCTTAAACCCTGAACCCCTAAACCCTAGGGCCGAGGTGATACCGGAGATAAGATCTCGGTAGATGGTTTTGGGGTTCAGTGTTTTGTTGCTCCCGGTTATAGAGGATGATGGAAAACAACATGGAAAGCCTAGATTCTTTTAAAGAGGTGTACAGGGTCATATAGGGATTATGGGTATATATAGGTAGAGGGATAATGCAAAAGAAAATTGAATTTACTATAATGGGTTATATAGGTTCAGGGTTAGGGATGCCGAGTTATTGTAGTCCCTCGTAAGTAGATAGAATATGTGGTATATGGGGATCTTATTAACGTAATATGTTATATTATACCTAAAGCCATATTCTATCTACTTAAGGGGAACTATAAGCCCACAAGCTTTATAGCCTAATCAATCACTGAGGATAGTGATTGGTCTCCTAGGAAGCGGGGCCGTCACTGAAAGGACCAAATGGGCCTCTTATCTGGGTCTTACCACTGCACATTGACCAGTCTACCTATGCCTTAAGCTAGCTGGCCTCGTTCTAAACTGTACACCCTCAACACTCAAACTTGTAAGATCCTTTCGGCCTGATCTTGTTCCAATGGCTGGTATTTCCCCAGCTTCCCCTTGGGGAAGGATACTGTTACATCCCATGTCCCCAGGCCCAACCCCAGGCCCCACAGGCGAGAATCTACATGCCTGACATCGATGCTCAGTGATTCATAGGAATTTGCAAGTGGGCGTTGGGTAGGGTAACTGCAGTTGTCATTCAGGGTAGTACTTGCAACCTGACTGTTCCAATAAGATGCACAAACTTAGATTCTGAATCCCGCGAATATCCGGCATGGATATTGAAAGCTAGCCGCAGTAGCCTGTAAAGTCCGTGTCCCGCAACGGCTATCGCTAGGGAAGCACTGACGTGATAACCAGGTTAGAACCCAGCTTCTTTGTTGTTGTTACGGCTTGCCCTAAGCTTACAAAACAGACTTTAAAAGCTCTAAGCCTCGGCCTCAAGGATACAGGTACAGGGTTAAGGTCACCCCTCCAGGAGCAAAGCATTTTGGTGTTTTATATAGATCAACATCATGTTCTCCTTCTGGTTGTGGTACGTTTCAGTGTAATCTTATTTGGATCAACCAGCCTATGCCCTGAGCCCTGGACAAAGAATGAACGTGGAATTACGTAGGGTCCCAGTTTCATTGCTCAGAGTGAAATGTCCCCTAGACCCGACATAATTGTAATTTATGATGTTCAGGAGAGGCGCAGAACATCTGGCGTGACAAGCCCGGTCTGATTGCCTCCATCGTGGTCCCCCTGGTTCCTCAGTTGTCAGAGGGATTGCATCGGAGTCTTCGAGCCAAAGCGGGCCACCCTTGCTATTGGCGGCTTCTCATGGGAGTCATAAATATGTACCCTCCTGGCTCCTGGAATCCTACATGGAAACTCACAAATGGCCTTTCGGTGGGGGCTGGTTTGTTGGCACACCTGTGACACCCCAAACAGGTGCAGGGTATTGAGGCAGTTTTCACAACATAGCTGGCATAGCTGGTCCTGCATTTTCTTCCATAGTCCATTTGGGTCTTTCTACATTCCATAAACAATGCCGAAATGATACTTGCTTGGTCTGTGTCTCCGCTCAAATTTAACAGAATTCTCAGAGGCTCTCACAAAGGTCCCGCCCCAGGCCATGATTCGTAAAACCTTGCGGGAAATCCACACATTTCCATTGCCTTCATCAGCAATGCAGGTGCTGAACGTTTTCTTCGCCCTCATCTTCTTCCAGGCTTCCTGTTTATTGGAAAATTCTCCAAACAAGAGGGACCCGTTAAATGACCTGCTATACCCTGTATCTCACTTAGTATGAAGACGTGAATGTATAAGGACTCGGTATTATGGGGTCTTCCTTGGCGGTGAATCAGGTCAGTGTTCCCCCAATTTTCTTTTAGCTCCTGACTATGGCTCCACATACTTCCTGATGCTGCTCTCAATGTACTCGCATGTGAGTTACCGGAGCGTACAGGTGATACGCGTGAAGCCCTCAACGTCTCAGTCTAATCCCCAGAACTTCCTCAAGTTGATTTGTTTCAGCTGTCTTCGTTTGCACAGGCGCTGCATAAATTGCTCCAGGGGATAAACATCTAAACATATCTAAAGTATTCACATCGTCATCGGCAAGTTTCGGGATACTATCTTCCTGACATATTTGTGTGACACCCAGTATATTCCCGCTCAAAGAAAGTTATAAAGTGCTGCATTAGAACAACAGCTGCAGACATTCCCCCACCACACAGGGCGTGCAGAAAGTTACCAAAATCTTCGTCGCAATGTCTGCAATCGCAAGCTCTAATTCTAAACCTTTGCATAACCGTCAATCACTCAGCCGGACTCGCTGCCAGGTGGGCGACATCATGCTGGACGATTATGATCCGCGCTCGCACTTCGGAGGAATGACGCAGGTGCGCGGATGGCATTTTTGACATTGATGGTTGAAGGTGCTAGCGTTGCTGGTTTTGGCGTTTGCGCATTAGGATTCTGAGGTTTTCTTGAAGATGCTATCAAGCAAGGTGCCCCGCTCCTTCTGCATGGACACCATCCCAAACCCAGGAGCATAATAGATACCCCATGAACTTGAAATAATCACTTCTATTACCGCTTGAGTCCGTGCGGAGGGTTGGGTGAGAGTAATGAAGCCAAGCGTGTCAAAGCCGCGATTCTGGCCCCATGTCAGAGAGGACTCTTGTTGTGTTACATGTCTTTTACGGACCTGCAAACTCTGAGACATGTCTTCGAGAGAAAGAGTCCCGGATTAACCTCACATTCCTGAAGCCGTCGAACTTTTTGTATCTCAACAGCCTTTCAGGTCAGAATTACATCAAAAGTGGGCATATGAGCTATCATCTAAACTCCGTAAAGGTTATGCAGGGGACTACTATAGGGGGGGGTATTAAGGGGGATACTCGGAGTTTAGACTGGCTCATATCGCCAGGTGGCTATCGGAGGCATGTTTGGTGCTGCCCAGCCGTGGCTTGGCTGCCATCAGAGTCCAGTGAGTTTGGGTTGAGAGATTTGGGGTAGGGTTAGAACTCTAAGGTTTCAAGGTTTTAGGGTTTTAAGGGTTTAGGGCTTGGTTTGAAGGGTTTAGGGCTTACGGGTTTGTTTTTATTTTTTTCAGGTTTAGGGTTTTAAGGGTTTAGGATTTCAAGGGTTTAGGGTTTAAGGGCTTATGCTTGAAAGGTTCCAGTTCATATTGCGGGGGATTTTAGTCCAGGGTCTCAAGCAATGGCCTTGCCATACAGGGATCATATCCCTACTGAGGCGTTACGGAACATGTGTAAACCCCAAATTAGATCTTCTCGACGGGAGAAACATTCTGCACACCGCATACCCCTCGATGGGACGCCAGCAGGACATTCACTCTCACTGGAATTATATAACACGGCACCTCATGTGGATCCTCTGTAAATCACAATTTTCAGGATAAGGTTACAAAGATGAGCCTTGATTGAGTCAGGGTAGCGGATATATTATTTGTTTATCCAAATGCCCATTCCAAACGTGTCGGGCCGCTGAGAAGTAGTCTGGTTCGCCCCGCTATCGTGTTGGACGGCACGCGCGCCAGAAAGCTGAACGTAATCTTCTGAGCCCTGGACTCGGAAAGCATCACAAAATTGAGTCGTAGGCCAAAATCCTAATTCCTGAGCTTCAGGGGCTGGACGCCAAATCACAAATCCAAAGCCAGAAATTCTAAGCCCCAAATCCTAGCTCCAGCCCAAACCCTAAAGTTCTTGGGTTTGAAGGTCGGAGTTGCACGCAACAATCATAGCTTGAGTGGATTCCTGGCTTAGGTTGTTGCTCAAGTTCCCGCTCGACCGTGGAATCTTCTTGCGTAGCTCGCCTTGCGTGCGTTGCAGTATGGGAAGCGTGGTTTAGGACCGACAGCTGGGGTAGGGATTTTGGATGATGAATCTTCCAGTTTTGATTTCCGTTTTTTGTAGCTACCAATGGTAGCTAGCCCGCTATCTACAGTATTCAGTATTAGCATCCGTCGCGGCATTGTTTCTATTGATACTTACTCTTCTTGCTTCGCTAAAGAGCCTGGATTGGGTCATCACTAGCCGACCAATGTCTTCTCCATGTTGCGCCCACTCATCCCGCAAACAATCACTTCTTGATGAACCATTATTACCCTGTACAAAATACCGAGACAGAGAGCTTGCTTAGCGGGTGGGAAGGTAGAATTATGGACAATATTTCGCGTGCCATATTAAAAGGACAATGAGGACAATACATACTAGATTCCGCTGTCACCGTAACCAGTGTTGTTCGGAAAAGCGACAATTTCCCGTCAAGGATCACTAGGGTATACTCATAGGTACTGGAAGCGTTGGGGGTACCATATGTTGGGTTGTAGCTAGAATTCTCCGCGTTCAAACTCCCCAGAAACTTGTATAGCCCTTATGAAATACTTATATGATCCCTATATCGCCCCTGTATAGGCCTCATAACCCACCCCAAACTGCCCGTGAACCTCCTTCTCGACAAGGATTCATGTCCTGTCTTAGAGATGCCTTGCTTGTACCCTAAGTCCTAAATCCCAAGCCCTGTTTCCTAAGGTGCCAACCCCCAAAAAACTCAAATGATGGTTACTATTATTTACTACTACTGCTATTCCTACTCCATTTATTTCTATCATGACTAACATCAAATCCTACACTTTGAGCTGTACCCGATGCTGGGCTTCTAGGGCACCATGGCGGTGAGAAATACGATCCTGCGGCAAGGCAGAAACAAATAATGACAGTAGAAGCAGGCGACGACGGTGAGCTAGGCATGGCTATCACGGTAAACCTGGGGTCGCAAAGGCGCCAGCCTCCAAGTAGAGACCATGATAGCAAGAAAAAAAGCCTCTAACCCCGACCCCCCCTTGCCCACAACCCTCAACCCTGAAACTCAAGCACTCATTGCCAAATCTCCAAGCTCGAATTCTCATGCTAGCTCCTAAACCATCTAAGCCTTCAAACCTCAGCCCTAAATCCTACACTCTGAGCAGAACCAGCAAGGTGAATATGCCACGCAGACCTATGGCTCCGCAGCGTATTTCCTCTCGTGACCTGGGGTGCAGATGGTTGAAGTGCAGGGTCAACCATAGAATCCCTGCTTATGTTCTTTGTAGAGGCCTCCTCATTCTGTTTAGAAGAAGAGCACCTAAAACAGCAAATCCCAAAGCCAGAACCATTCCCTAAAAAACCTAAACTTTCGAGGTATGGCAGGTATGGATTCCAAAGCCCTTACCCTAAACCCTAAACCATAAACCCCGAAACCCTAAACCTCCCCTCTCCCTTCCGCCTCCCCAAGGAAGACGATGGTGGAACTGCCCCAGTCCTTCATGAACGCAGCGGCTTAGCCCAAACCCGCTGGGTTGGGGTTGTATTGGGCTGATGGAAAATAAAATAGAAACACTACTATAGTATCATAGGGGTATATATTGGGGTTATATAGGGATAAGGGAAAAGAGCATGGAAACTACTCTACTATACTACGGTTTCATAGGGTTATATTAGGGTTACATTGGGCTAATGGAAAATGAGCTGGAAAACTATTATAACAAGGGTTATATAGTAGGGTTTTGGATTTGGAACTTAGATTCAGTGATTGGGGGCTTTAGGGTTTAAGCTTTGTGCGGCAGTTATACTCTGGGAACTGGGTGCAAATTTGCAGCAATCCAGCAGAACAGGTGCAGTGTTAGAGGTATAGGGTTTAGGGTTTAGGGTCACAACAAGTGGCCAGAAATTTGACAGCTCCTGCATAAGGTATTGCTCAGAGTCTGCACAGGGCTTGCATAAGATCGCGGGCTATAGGGCTTCCCAAAGTCGCGGTTGACCTCGAACACCCGCCTGATCTGCCGGAGCAGGATTTGTACAGGTTTTACAACAGTGTGTTTTCGTTTGTCAGGATTCGACTTACTTATATTGGGGTTATATTGGGATGGTAATTGAAGCTATTGTACTTGTAGGGGTGATATAGCGGTTATAGGGCATTATTACCTACCATAATGGGTTATATATTGGGGTTGGATCACTGCAAGGGTATGTATATCGAAAACATTGTGCACGGTGCTATATTTCAAGCGCTGTTTGGCTTTGCTCAGACGTCGCTTTTTTTTTTCAGCCAGGATATGATAATACATGACAGTATAGAAAAAGAATGCGCGAGCCAATAGGGAATACGTAATCCCCCCAACCCTCCATTCCCCCTCTGAAATCTTCAAACACCAGAAAACCTCAACACCACAATGACGTGCAATAGGCTAGACCGTAGCTCAAGTTCTTGGAGCCCTTCAACCCGAAACTGCGAACCCCAGAACCCAGACCCTGCTGTAGCTCAAAGCAGGCCCTAAACCCTAAACTCTAAATAGTGATTTCCGTTTTCTTTTCCACTATCCCTGTATAACCCTATATTATACCCATATATTCCATAGACCCTAAACCCAACCCGTCGTCAAGTCATTCAGACCCCAGGTCATCACTTGGGGCGCAGCTTACTTCCTCATGGGCTTGCGAGGTGCCAAGACGCGAACTTCAACTTTCTGCCTTCCTTCAGCTGCTTTGGGGATTCCTGGGGTTTAGGATTTAGGGTTTAGGATTTGAGGTTTAGGATTTAGGGTGTAAGGTTTAGGGTTTAGGGTTTATGGAATATATGGTTAGAATATAGGGTTATATTGGGATAATGGAAATAAGAAAAGGGAAATTACTATTTAGGGTTTAGTAGGGATTCCTGTAAACTCTAGGGATTGTTGTGCAGGAATGGTGCCTTGAGTAGACACTTCAAGACTTGCAGTTACACAAAAATCTGGGTCGCACCTCATATTTGGAAATGCTGTTGGTGCAGGAGATCTTGCACCACCTCAAGTCCCCAAAGTCTCATGAAATACAGTAGTTTATGGCCCCTAGGTGGTGCAAGATTTCATCCACTAACAGTATGTCATGCTTTTGAGTACGCAGGGACACCCTGCTCTGGACACAACTGATTTTAGATGAATGTCTGATGTTTTGTTTGCTTACAGAAGGGCTAGACATGCCAAGGAGTCCCAGCTAATGTAGAATCTTAAATGAATACCAACACTATGGTCCCAGATTTCTTCTACTATAGTATAGTGTACCTCAGCTAGACATCAGATTAGGAATGGTAATTCTTCAGGGCAATCCCGTCATTGGCTACTTGAGCTTGCTAAACCCTAAACCTCCAAACCCTAAACCCTACACCCTCAGGTTTTGGGTTCCAGAGCCCAAACTGCGGGAATCAGTTTAGGATTTATGTTTCTTTGGGTTTAGGGATTTTTAGGTTTAGTTTGTTTTAGGGTTTAGAGTTTAGGGATGAGTATTTATTGTATTTCTTTGGACCAAATTGGGGTTAAGCCTGCCACTCGCACGATCTACGGGTGTCCTGAAAATGTTTTTCAGTTTATTTTCATTCTATGCCACAAATTATCAGCTAAAGCAAATCCTTCGGACCGTTTCAGGGCAGATGCAGGGCAGATGCAGCTGATTTTTTATATAGTCAAAGATTTCGGCTGGAAGCTGTGTTTCCCTGGAGTCCTTCGTGCTGAGTGATCACCTGTTGGTAGACCTCAATGCATGATTGAGCCAACCCATTCTCCTACATCAAGCATCAAGAACATCATTTCGAAGTAATCCTTCTTAATAACCCTTATGTAAGAAAGTTATGCTACATGCCCCCAAACCAAATCTCATGGTGACTGTCGTCAGCTTGCCGGAAGCGCGCAGAGGAGCATTGGGCCTGAAGAATTAGAATGTCAACCGGTTGGTCTACGTCCGGAGTGAGAATCGTACGCACACGCACACGCACAGGCTCTTCACAGCTGCAGACTGCAGCGGCGGAATGGTACACCTCCTCATACCTCTGAACGTGCCCTTTTCCAAAATTCGGTTCACCTTGCAGACTATTGATGATGCCCCATAAGCCATTAGATCCATGAGTTACCTTGGCGCAGTCCTTCTATTTCAAGCATCTGAAGTTTCACGAGGCAATTTCACGAGTTGTTGTCTTCTCATGAAGTTAAGACCTCCCCCAAAACCTAAGAAGTCTCAAGCCCTAAGTGCCAAAGCCAAGAAGACGTTCCTATATGCAAATGGTTTTTGAGCAAAGGCCAGTTCATGATCTACGTCCTGGTCTTCTGGGTCACTGGTGTCGCAGCTGCCTCCACGGCGGTGCTGGTGGGCTGCCTTGCGGCCAACGCAGAGGCTGATGTGCTGATGCAGGATTCAGGGCTTGGACTTAGGACTCTTGGCATTGGTTTTAAGGAGTGGCAAGCTGGGCAGTTTCAGGGTTTGGGGTTTGGGGTGTGTGTTTCAGCCCGGGCATCGAAAAACTAGCTGTGCAGAGTGTTTACATCCCAGATGGAGGTGCATAATTGGACTCGTAACTGTAGGGTATTGGAATGAGACTTTCGGGTTTCAAGCTTTCGGGATCAGGTCTTCAAAGTCAGAGTGTTGATCCCAAAGGCCAGGCATGAAACTTTTCAACGCCTTGGTAGAAAGCACTTCAGGAGACAATCTGTAGTTCCCTGTAGCCGCTGCTGAAGATGACTACACGTATGCTTTACCATGTAGCTACCAAGTTACACAGAAACAAGCTGCAGGCCTGAGCTTTTCCGCACCAAAAGCCCTCCCAACCCAGAAAGGGGCTCACAAAGATTGCTGCACGGGTTCCTATACAAGCTATAGTCTAAACTCCTTAAAGCGGGTTATATAGGAGATTATATAGGGGTTTATTAGGGGGGATACTAGGAGTTTAGACTATAGCTCCTAGGTGAGGGGTCCAGGTTTGTTTGGAGGAATTACCTTCCGGAAGCCCTTGCCGTTGGAGCCGCTGGGGCCTGAATCCCTTAATGCGCAACACTTGAACAAACCTGAAACTCCTGCTTCCTGATGCCTACGTCAAGAATCCAGACATCCTGAAATCCGTCCAACCGCCTGAGCCCCCAAGCCTCAAAGAGCTGAAGCGTGTTCTTTGAGCCTTCATCCTTCAGACTGGTATGAAGCATCATCCTCAGCCGGCAACATAAACTGATGTGAAGGATGGGTGTCTTAGGTTTAGGGAGCCCATATCGGGTTTCGTAGGAATGTTGGGGAGTGTACATATTAGGTTGCCACTTGAGGGGACCATACACATGAAACATGGGTGGTGTGGCGTGTGGGTTCGCAAAAGCACGTTGGGCTTGAAGACGTATGCTTCAAACCCCTGAATCCCACACCCAAAACCTTGGAGACCGTCTGAACCTTTAGAGCCTCGACTGTCGAACCCCATGTTGGGTGTTCAAACATGGTCCCATATGGGTCGCTGTTACAGTATTGCATGTGTAGTTGCGAAGGCCACAAAATCTGGACCCAAGTATTAGAAAATTATCGATGTTGCAAACCTGAAGCCGTAAATCCTAACCCACATGTTGCAGGTGGCCCAGCAGGCAGCACCTGCTGTGTTCGTGCCGCAGCTGCTCTTTGCAGGCTTCTTCATCACCACAGATGCTTGGCCTGCTTGCTGAGCATAGGAATCTGCTTCTGAACGAGGTTTGTCTTACTTTGATGGTATGAAGGGAGTCATGACTTGCACTGATTGAGCTTGCCCAGTTCTCATGGATAGCAAGTTTTTTGTGGTTGGGCCTGGAGCTGGGGGTGCAGTGGCTAAGGGACGAGCGATCTTGATGGCTGTTCTTTTTTCTTGAACACAATGTGATTTCACAATGTCGCAGGTCCTAGTGGATTCCCCTAGGCGTGAGCCGACGGGATTGAAAAGCTTTGATCGCCAAAGCATGGGATAGGCATTCTGAAGCATCGCATCCTTCACACTGCTTTCCCAAGTGCTGAAGCCCTGGGCACCTGCCGCCAGAATTTGGACCTTGAAGCTAACACCCTGCACCCATATCCAAACCTTGGTAGCTGCACGCCAGTGTTTGGGATCCGGCTGTACCATCTCATTCCAATGTCCTTTTCACAGGGTGTCCCCAGAAGAACCCTGCAGTTCTGAGATAATCCATTAGGTTCCTTAAATCCTAATCCCTAAAACCTAATCCTAAAGCTCTAAGCTCCCTAAACCCCAAAGCCCCTGGGTCCTCCAACTGTAAACCTTCAAGCTTTGATAGGCTAATCCCTACCCTTTATATAGATAGGTCCTCTTGCAAAGCAGCTAGATCCCAATAAACTCTACAGCCTTAAACCACCAACATCCGAAACTCTCACAGTCTGATGCCTTGAAGAGCTACGTCCTGTCCATGGACATTCCGACTCGAGGCCACGTTTAAAAGTGAATCCCGAAACCTAAAACATAAAAGACCCTAAGCCCCAAACCCTAAACCCCAATCCCCAAACCCTAAGCTCTAAGCTTTAAACCTGCAATCCCAGGAGCAGATCCCCTCTTGGTTGCGCTGGGCATCTTACCTTTGCGCTCTGAAGTACGGCATGAACTTGACCCTGGGTTTGCTTTAGGGGCAGTAACCTCAGGAACCCCAGGGAACAGCTTTTGCAGATGTTTGGCTTCAATCCTCAAATCCAGGGATCTGGAGGTTTAGGGGTTTAGACGGTTTTGAGGGTTTAGGTATGCGCGGTCGGAAATGATATGCAAACTGTTCAGACTCCACAACCCCAATCTGTACCCTGTGAACCTTTGACCCTGAAAACCCGATGCCTGAAATCTCATGAACCCTAAATCCCTTGGAACCAAAGTCCGGTGAACCCCTGAACCCTAAACCCTAAACCCTCAACCCTCAACCCTAAACCCAAACCCTAAACCCCTTGTGCCCAGGAACATCCTGAACGAGTTTGGCCGCCGCCTCAAGCTGACGTAATCTTTCTGTTTCAAAAAGAGTAGGAAACATTGAGTGTACAGGGTCTAGGGTTTAGGGTTTACGGTTGTACTTTCAAGAGATACACTAGTCTCCGCTAGAGGGTAGCATTACATCGCATTCTCACTGGGTAATCGTTTTTCCATGAAGAGCGTATAGAGACTTACATACTCCTCAATAACAATAAGGCACAGACTTTAGGGTTTAGAGTTGTAGGCCTTTAGCGTTTCCCCTGGAACTTTGAAACTACCATGCACACGTGTACCTGTCAGACACCTCACAACTCTAGCAGGGTAACCCGGACCCATGATTAATACACCCCCTCCCCTTAATAGGGATTATCATAGGGATCCTAATACTAAGGCCATTAACAGGAGGGGGTTTACTAATCAGGGGTCTACATTATGGAGTTTGGGCTTGGGGAGGCGATGGCATCTTTTTGACTTGTAGCCTGGGTTTTTTTTACGATAAGGGCCATTAATAAGATCCCCATATACCTCAGATTCTATCTACTTAAGGGGGACCATACCCTAAACCCGAAACGGTAACCCTAAATAGTAGTTTCCATTTTCTTTTCCACTCTCCCTATGTAACCCCCATATTCTATCTACTTAAGGGGGACTACACCACTTATATACCCTCAACATCTCATAGAAGGATTTGAGCAGCTTGCATGCAGTGCTCTCTCTTTCCAGCGGGAGCCTTCAAAGCCGAAAAGGGGCAGACTAGTAATCTAAGAGCCTACCCAAGAGCAAGAGTTCTGGAGACCACCTCACTAGGGTTTAGGGTTTAAGGTTCTCATGGTGGAATAGGCAGGCTGTGGATGAAATATGTTTCTAGGCCACGTCCACGTCCACGGAGTCGTAACATGATTCAGGAAGTTGCCTGAACTATTCTTCGGGAAGCCAGAAGCCCCTCAGCAGGTCCAGATGCAGTGGCGGACTGGCCGGATGTCATGATGATGAACCCGGCCACACGTCTCTCGCCACGTATGTGGGCTACACTAGGGAGTATCTGGTACTAGGGGGAAGATCAGACACCCATCCATCTCTTACTTTTTGATGTCCCCAATGTACGTGGGCTATATAGGGAGTGTCTAATGAGTGTTGAATTGGAGGGGGAGGGGATTACATTTGAATCGCTACTGTCAGTATGGCTAGGCGGAGGGGATGATGTTGTCAAGGATTAGCAGGGCACCCGTCTTTTAGGGGATTACTTCTTTAAAACTTTAGATTGAAGCCTGAAACGGTACGGTATATACCGAACCCTGGACCCAAACCTGTGAACACAGGCCTGCCATTCTTATCCTTTGGGGCGAAGAGAGTGATCATAGAGTGGGAGTAGGAGTAGGAGGAGAAGGAGAAGTGGTAGTAGATGTAGTAGTGGAGCCAGTAGCCATATCAACAGCGATGGAAAAGGAGTGATGTTGATGGTAGGATTTGCAACAATCTGCGAGGACGGTTTTAAGTGGAAATCGTGCTGCGCTACTGGCACTAGCGTTGGTGGAAACTGGGAATGGCATTGACCCGGCAGCAGGTGTCAAGGACACACCGCTCAAGGCCATGGTCAACGAACAGTTCGTGGTGAGCAACAGTGCCTGTCTAGCAGACAAGCAACGCCTTTTCCTGCATGCATGGTTCTCATGTGGTAGTTTCTTCAATTCGGACCCCAATATAGATCCCAAAATATTACAATCCTTATTATTGGGACCGCCAATAAGCACCCCTAAATTGGGGAACCCACATGTTTCTGTTGAGTTGCGATCGGAAACAGCCGTGGCCGACCAGGAGCACCTGATTGAGTTGAATTGCTTAGCCCCCAGGCTATTTCCGTAGTCCAGTATACTGTCCGCTCAAAGGGAAGGGCGAATTATTGCATAGAAAAAAATGAAGCGTCATTTGAAGCTACAAGCTGCCTTGAGCCCAAGCAATCACGACTCCCTTAGAGTCCCTTTCTACTGGCATCGGTTGACACTGCACCGGCCGATGGTACGAAAGGCAGCTAGTTGTAGTGGTCAGGGGCTCTTTGCTGGGTTATTGGCTTCCACGCGGGCCTGCAGACCCTACAACCTTCCCGACAGCTTCGCGCTACACGTCCACATAGTAATCAAGAGCAGCTGCAGGGGCGAAGGGAAGCTAAGATTTGCCCTCGCATCCTCTGTACTGGCTGCTAAATTCAGCCTTGGGGCACACACACCCGAAGCTCTGTTCATGCAGGTGCAAACTGGTGCGGGAGGGGCCAGGGTTTCAAAATTGAGATTTGTGTGAGGAATTTGCGTTAAATGCGCTGATAGCAGGAGCAACGTTTAGATTGTAAACGCAATGCGCAATCTGTAATTCATGCTACAGCAGCCTCTGAGGCATCAACCCAGACCACGTCTGGCTCTACGTCGGCACCTTCGCCAATCCAGAAGCTCCATATTCTATGCGCAACAAATCTGCCTTGCCGTCCTGTAGCAGTAGATGCAGTGTTTGTGCATTTCTAGAGTGTGCTCTAGTAATACGAGGAACCTTTTTGTGAGGATACCTTGCTCCCTTCCCAATAGGAACCTTTACGTGTGCCTTGAAGGGAACAGCTGCAGCGGCCCCAGTCCTCAACCCCTTGAGTCTGTGATGACCCTTTGCAAGTACAAAGCGCCGAGCTGAACTTGGGACTTGCATGGCGATGGTGGTGATGATGATGATGATGAAGACATCGTCATGCAGCCATCTGGCTGTAGAGCGGTGTGAGTGAGTGAGTGAGTAAGTGAGTGAGTGAGTGAGTGATGCTGATGATGATGGTAATGAGGATGATGGCGATGATGAGGATGGCGGCGACCATTATCGTTATATTGCCACTGTCTTGACGTTCGGGGTACGTGGACTAGTGAACCTCCAGTGCTCTGTTACTACTATTTGTATGAACGCTTCTGTTAATGGCGCCCTTAGCTCAAGCCATATCTCAATTCTCGAATCCTGGCCCGAAGCCCCTAAAGCCCTAAAGCTTAAGGAGCATTTCCAGATCATGTCTTTTGTAAGAGACCCTTAAATCCTCACTCGGACTTGATCACACGCTCGAAAACCTCCCCCCCCACATCCTGGAACTGAAACTGCCCGAGTCTCAAGCGCCAAGCCCTGAGCCCACCCACCCATAAAGTCTTTGGCCATGCCCTTGCGCAACCCGAGGTTCCCTCAGGGTGTTGGGTGTTGGATGTGCCAAAGGGTTGAGCACGGGTATGCTCGCACTCCAAACTGGGGGCCAAACAGATCTAAATCCTCAACCCTCCAACATTCGTTTTTCAGCCTATCCCCCATATGTTCCTATGAACCCCTAGTCTCCAGTCATTTTTCAGTTTTCCTTTCCGTTTGATTTTCCCTTATGCCCCTGAACCTTGTAAAGCTCTCTCAGGCATCCTCCTGGCCATCATCGTCGTTGTGAGGATGCTCTCCATCTTGGCTCTGGCCCGACGCGCAGCCTCCTTCTTCTGAGGAGGAGGCCACATGATAGGGCAATTGCCACCCCACCCCATTTTCAGTGGTATCTGGAAGTAGTGGGTAATAAAAAAAAACGGGCATAAGCAGCTGAGTTTGAGGTACAGGTACAGCTGTCGTGCATATAACTTGTTTATACATACCTGTGAAGGCGCAAGTAGCTGACAGTCCCCGCTAAAAACAAAACTTACGAGATGATCTCAATGCCTCGCTTAGGCGTTGCTTTTGCTGCTTCTGCTCCCCTTACCTGGCTTTTTCCCAGATATACAACGTAATAAACTGCAAGCCCGAAGTTGGAAGCTCAAGGGATCCCTTCCCTTAATGGGAAGCCTTTGGTAAACGTATTTTGGCGAGTGATGGACGGAGAATTTACATGGTTTTCGTCTCGCGCACTCTGCCCTATCCTCTCCGGACCTGCCACCCAGGATTCACTAATGCCGCGCAGTAGCCTGTTTCAGGGTTCCCAGAACTTGTGGGTACGTTTTGGGGTCTCTATGATTTGGGAAATAGTACCTTGGGGTATTTGAAGGGCGACCCTTGCTTGTGTCAATTTGGAATGTTTGGTGCACTTCGCAAAATCTAGTCGAAAGAGCTTGCCTGAAATTATTGTTGCCACAGGGGTCACAAAGGGTCTTAGGAGATGATAGCCCCAGCTTGGTAACAAGGATCGGTGTCAGCGTTGGAAAAGTGAATTAGCGTTTTTTGTATCAATCGGAAAAAGATCACGAAACATTAAACAACAAAAAAAAACATTTTTACTGGCATCGCAGTGCCATTTCAGTTTCCATGTTCTTTCCCATTATCCGTATAAATATCCCTAATATACTATAGTAGTTTCCATGCTCTTTCCCAATAGATTCTCACAAGGTCTCTACGTGGAGCTGGGGCTGCTCTGAGACCTTTGCCAACGCGGGTGGCAAACACGTGGGGTCAAGGCTGTGGGCGTATTCAAGGTAATACTGCAGGCACAGTAGTAGATTGTGATCTTAGGCGTGGGTCTTACGCCCTAAACCCCCCTTTGCAGGGACCTTTTCTCTCCCCGGGCCCAAAGGGCCAGGCGGAGCTTTCGTCGGATGGCAACCGGACATCCGAGGTCCAAAGCCAGTTTCTGAGGGATGCAGGATGGGGCCCTTCAAAACTACAACGCTTACGGCAGGCGGTGACGTTTCGTGGGGTCCATTCTGCCACTCTGGTAAAGCTTTGTAATTTGTGAAGAAAGTTCTTACAGGATTACATAGCCAATATGGATGGTGAGTCTGAGTAATGATTATAAGAATAATTGGGGTAGGAACCCTTGCAATCTTTTTCTGCCGCACGGCCCCTTCAGCAGGGCTTTCCTTTCGGGTGTCGTTCGAAAGTCTCCAGTTTTTTCCAAATCCTGAACTAGGGTTTGGGGGTTTGGGGTTGGCTGTGCCCTGAACGCTGGGAACCCAAACCCTAAGTTTCCCATATCTTTGACTCTACTGGTGGTTAGTAGGCAAGAAGGGAATAAAATCCCTCATAACCCCTATATATCCGCTTATTCCCTACTAGCCCCCGGTAAGTTGAAAGCACCAACCCCCCCGCCAGAGCTTACTTCAAACTACTGCGGCTCCAGGCTGCGTCCCTCCCCAGTTGCCTTGTGCCACTTGCGGATAACACCCAGGCGCCTCTATCCTCTGAGGGTAAGTCAAGGCCTAAATAGCTAGAAGATACAGAATGAAATAGAACAGGACATGGGAAAGGGCGTGGAATCTGGGATTTTGGGTTTATGGGCTTGAAACCAGACGCCCCTTGCCGATTTCTTGATCGGCGCATGCCTTGGTCAGGGCAAATGCGTCAAGGTTTGACGGAAGTTGGAAGTTCTCCAAGAACACGAAGGCCCAAGCTTGCATTCTAAATGTCCCGGCCCTTGTCGGTTGACTAGACTCGGGCGTGCAACGGTATAGATGCCCGTAAGCAACAGGTTTCCATTTCCCGGAAGCTATGCGCGGGGAGTCCCAGTATGAGTAGGAGATCCCATTTCTGTTCCGAATTTACATGGGAGTTTTCCAAAATTAGGTCATCCTCAGGGTACCAACATTCGAGGTCTATGTAGAGTGCCCTTATTTAGGGGAACTACCACATGCTGTTGCCAGCACAATCTTCTGTAACTCCAAACGCTAAGCCAGCTGAGCTACCACTCTTGCTGTTATGATTTGTCATAGGCATTTTCAACTCTGTACTGATTCCTCATGTCATGAGGACCTCAACCTTAACCCCAAAGTCTTGCAAGAATATGGTAGGGGTAGCTCGCCTTGTCCGCATTGGTGGCGTTTTGCTTGGACGTTTCGGCCTCCGCTGCTCCCGGCCCTGGCAGATACGATTGCGGATCTGCACTCTGTTAAGGATTGGTGGTCGACATTTTGGGAGTTGGGGTCGGAGGGTGTGGACTTGTCGTCACAGCCGCATGAAGGTAAAAGTCAGATGTCGGATGTCGTAGAGGCGTTTAGAAACAACACTGAGTATAATGACACACCGGACAATTCAGGGCACATGGTAAAATTGCTTTCAACGTTGTCTGCCAAACTCGGGTATTCATAGCTGGAGAGATTTAAATAGAGGAGTGCATGCTGGGATTTCTTTGGGACCTAGCCCCTAATCCCGAAACCCGAAGCTCTAAGCAATCACAATGCTGGAAGGCTGAAAGGGAGCGCGGATGGCCCATTTGTCTCTTTGACATCCTACCTCGGCTAGGGGGCCAAGCCCACTACGGGTTGACAGATGCTGTGGCAACGTGGGAAAGAATCTGGACCTTGCCAGGCTTTGAAGCATACGAAGAACACTGGGGCAGAGATGGAGCATGTGTGACAGTAATCACAATATATTGCACTTACCTGATGGTTTATCCGTAGTTTATGTAGTACCACCAGGAGAAGCAGTCGTACAGGTTGCCGCTAGCAGCAGTGGTAGCGGCCGCCATTGTCGCGCCGTCGTCGTCATTGCTTTTGTCGCAGTTGTAGTAGCAGCAGCAACAGCAAAAGCAGCAGCAGTCAAGTCCTGCTTGGTGCAGGAATCGTAGACAGCGGATGTTGGATTCCATCTATGATTTTTTGTATTGCTCTCTCTATCTTTCCATTTACAATCGGAACGCTATGCATGGTTTGGGAGCCGAATTTCGTGCCACTTTGTCAGCTTGACCTCCGTGATTCAAGGGAAAGTAGGTAGACTGGCCCAGTACTAAACTTCGCACCTCTGAGCCGTTTGCTCAGAATTTGTGATGGCTGGACTGCGGAAGGTGCTAACCTTCTTGCTGCTAGCAGGCGCGCGTGGTGCTGTTGATGTGCCAGCGCGGAACCTCCAAGATTCGGGAAGTCCGAATGGCCTGATTGATGCGAACTGCATAATCAAATGCCCAGGGGCCATGACCATGCTCCTGGACTTGCAGTCCTTCTTTCCAAAAGATGTAAGCTGGCAAGATCTTTTGGGTGGTGCTGTCATGGATCTCGTAGGGGTGCTTTTCCAGGCCATGTGCAAGCACACAAGCGTGATGACGTGCATGGCCACACAGTGTGTGCCCGAAAATGCAACCACCACTGTCAACGACATGAATATCAGCTTCGATTCTCTGGCGCAATTCATGCCCTGTATTTGCGATGCGTGCCCGGGTATCCAGACGCTGTTGGCTAGCATGGCATCGGTTGCTCCCACGTTGCAGAACTTAACGTCAGTGGCCTGGCTAGTGTTGGAGGGATCGTATTCATTCTCGTTTCAGGAGCCCGGGTTTGAGGATCTAGGAATGGAAGGGGCTACTGGTGTGGGCTGTGCTTGCTTTGGCTTTGGTGCTGGCTCTCGATGTGCCGTTTACTCCTTCCACACATCCTGGCTTCTCGTTTCCGCTAAGAATTAGCTTGGGCTGTGGAAGATGAACGCGTATTGAGCCCTACTCCACAGGGGAAGTAAGTCTTTGTGGAGAAGTGTTTGTGGGTCAAGCCTGGGATCACTCCCTCTGGCAGCTTGAATCGCAGAACCAAGTCCTGATGAAGGCTTTCATCCCCAAGCCGAGCCTCCAGATGTCCCAGGAAGCATATGATCTTTCGAAGAGAGATATGTGAACCCCCACAATGGCGCTCAACTATGCAGCTGGTTCGTCAAACTAGCTTCGAAAGTTCGGAAATGTTCGGAAGAAGCTTTTCTTGATTCTCTGCACACAGCAGACCTTGAGGTGACCACGGACGCTCTGAATGCCGCATGCCCAATGGTTGGTGCGACCGAGTGCTTGGTGTCAAATGCGCAATGTGCCTTACTTGCATTATATATTCCAGATGAACATCCGAGGAATTTGTTTCTTCTCCTGGTTGGGTTGGAGCCCGCTGTGTTTTTTGCGGGGAAGTTCGTAAGATGCGTGGATGCCCGTTCCTGTTTGAGTACTTGATCAGTTGTTTAGTTGACTGTAGTAGGCCTTGGACCTCTGAAAAACATGCTGCATTTGGCTGGGTTATGAAGGCATCGGCGGCAGCAGTTGCCAGAAGTATGTGCTATCCTTTGGGAACCCTCTTCCCTCTTCCAGTTCATTGCTATGAACATGGGCCTCTGGCAGGGCTCTTATTTGGGCTTTGCTGGCTCCCTGGCTTTGCCAGATCCTTATTAAAAATATCTCGTTGCTTGTAGGAAGTTTGTCTACAGTTTTCATTGTAAGGTCGGAACGCCCATGGAGTTGACAAGGGAACAGTAGCAGGCAAGTGTAGTGGAATTCAGATATGACATTCCAATACATCAGTTGGGGGTTGGTGCATTGAAGCCAGACTGACGCCTGCTGCAGAGGGCTTGACGTGCTGCGAGAAATTCTTCAGGCTTTTGTGCGCCACAGCTCGGATTGAATCTCATGCGCGACGCACACGCTTATCGTCTGTCTGCTAAGCTATCCGTTGTGGAATTGTAGAAGAAGCGCAGTATCGTGGGTGTGCAAACCGCAAAGCCCAAACCTTCAAACCAAAGCATAACCTTAGCCTCTAGATCCTAAACTCCAAGTCCAATCCATGTGAATCTGTGTCTCCGAAGTTTCAGCTGTAGAGCTTCTTAACAATCCCAACCATGACGTCAAGGTCCATAGCCTCTGAGGCGTGGCCCCTGCATCTTTTAACCGAAGCCATCAGTCCACATCCTTCTAAGTTGTTACTATCATTACTACTATTGCTATGACAATGACCAGTACTATTCCTTGGATCACACTTGAACGCTTGAAGATTCTGTTAGAACACGGGGAGCCCCAGCATGAGAGGATGGGACGTCAAAGATGGCATAAGATGGCAACAAGGAAGAGATGTTGTTTTTGTAGCTGAAGCCTTCTGGATACTCATCAAACAGGGTTCACGTGCACCACGTGCATGCGGGTGTTTTCAAAGATGAGTGCCTAATTCTGGAAACTGCCCCTGTCACATGCCGCATGTACCTCCCATTTCATGATCCCAGGTGTTGCCTTTGTGACGTCCTACGGAGAGCTAGGGTGGGGACCTTACCAGCTGGACGAAGTGGTTTTGTAGTCAACAACGAGGGCTTTCGTGGATGTGAAAAGCTTACAGTTCAGGCTTAGGCTGTAGCAATCACGTCAGAGTCGTAATTTGTCATTCTTTGAAGGCTCAGGTATGCTGACGTTATCAAGCAATCCTTACACCCATGTACATCATCAATCGCTACTCTCGCTACTCCACTGGCTACTCCATCTTTTCTGTTAGCGGGTTGGAAAGCTCAGTCGTTATGAGAAGGGGGTGGCGGTGGTGTTAGGCTTAGTAGTGTTAGTGATTGCGCTGAGGCTTCAGGGTCTAGGAGGCAGACGGGTCATGCCGCGTGGCAATCCTGCATCCTAAGCCTTCAACATCCTCCTTAACCGAGCCCAGAAAAAGTTTTGGACATCAATTTTGGCTCTCCTGCAGACGTTCTTCCGTGTACCAAATCATGAGACAGTTGGAATAACAGCGCTTCAGCACCTTAAACTCTAAGCCCTAATGCCTAGATCCTAAACCGTGTAAAAGGCAACTTTTGATCTTGATTTGGCCCCAAGATTCTATCAGCGTTTAGAGGGCTTGGACGTGTTTCAGGATTTGCGGGTCTTTACCTGGAGTTTCTGCTTTGCGAGGTTTGATGCGGTTTGCACCTGCACTTCAGGTTTGTCCCATACACGAACGGGCCCTCAAAAGGGAAGTACTCGTATCGAGGGCCGATTGCAAGGCGTTTAGAAGGAGTGATATGTTTGATATTATGTGTGTGGGGGGGGGGATTGCTTGTGAACATAATGCCCCAGTCCTGCGGAGAACCCTGCAATATATGCATGATGTTTCAGTACCCGCGCGTTCTTTCTATGTCGCCAAGGTATTACCCATGGGCCCGGTGTTAAACAGCTACGTTAGACATCAGAAGTCCTGACTGAGGCTGACAAATGATAGCTTCCAAAAGCAAAAGTTGGGTGCCACCCCGCGGGCCACGAATCCTAGACCCTCAGATCTAAGCCTTAAACCTTCAACGCGTGAGACCCCAAGCTGTAACCCTTGGCATGGGTCGCGTTGTGCACGTAGTATCGGTATTTGCGCAGACTTATGCTTGCTTCTATAGCATACGTGCATACGCATTGCCCAATGCAGAGCTCACATCTGACGTTGTCTGCCTGGCTGAGTACCTTGAAGAGGAGATGGTCGGGGGAAGCGTTTTTGAATGGGCTCCACGAGCATGGCTTTGGGGATCATATAGGGGATAATGGCAAATATCATGAACACTACTATAATAATATAATGGGGTATATATTGGGTATTATTCTGTTGGGTTTGCTGGTGGTGGGCCTGCTTCGTTGTGGCTGCGTGCAAAATGGCGGGTAAACCCTCTTGCCCGACCTTTGCGGGGCTCCACAAGAAGCCGTGGAGGAGCGGCGCCAAAGACACGGCTACTTCGTGCAGCCAGCCACGTTTCATTCACTCACTGAAAGCACCACCCCCAAAGAGCCTAAACCCCTGAGCTCGGAATCCTAAATCATGTATCCTCACTTGGTGATTTCCATGCCTACGGAGCAAGATAGATCCCAGCATATTAAAATCCAGGATCCTGATTATGGGGGCCCTGGATAGAGACCCCTTATCCTATAGACCCCTTCTATCATCCCTTTGTAGCACCCATAGCACTCTTTTAACTTTTAACGCTCCTAACCCTAGACCCTAAACCTTAAACAGTAGTTTCTATTTCATGTTTCATTATCCCTGTGTAACCCTACAAAACCCTTATATATCCCAACCCTAGACCCTAAACCCTAAAGCCTTCTCAAGCTCGAGGACCGCAGGTCAAGCCATCTCCCAGGCGAAGTCCACGTGCGAAACAGCTGGAAGCTGGGCTTAGGTTTTCATGTCTTCTTTCATGGGGTCTATATATTGGGTTCCTTGATTTGGGAAAACTGCTGTACATACACAGAGTGTATGCCATATATACTGCGGCAGGACAAAAGTTCGCCACGCGGACTTAACTTGACAAGTCTAGGGCTATGGACCCCCTCTCCCCCTTAGACTCCTAGCACAGGCTCTCCGCCGGGAACTTTATAATAGTATAAATTTATTCCCGGAAATTAACTACTCCGCCACGCTGGCCATGTAAAATGACACTTCTGCCCTCTCCGCTTCTCCGCGGTACTGT